CCACCAGGGTCTCACCTGAGGCATGGGCAGTAGAGCAGTGAGGTGCTAGACGCCTCCAGATTCCCATCCCTGTCCCTCCAGAGACCTGTCTTGCTCCCTTGCGTCTATTAAATAACATCCTCCGTCTACCGTTGTTTCAAATGACTTGAGGCATGACTGGCTTCTGGGCGGTAAGATCCCCCAGGGCAGGGACAATCCCTCAGTCTCTCATTCATTCATTCATTTACTCGTTTGTTTCTTCTTTCCTTCCTTGCTCCCTTCCCTCGGCACAAGGAGCACCTGCTATGTGCTGGGTATCTGGGTAAATCTGACACGTCAGGATCCCCGGTGCGGGGCCCAGGGCCCGGGCACAAAGTCGGATTAATGTTTCCCAGTGCCTACTATGTGTCTGGCACCATGCGGGGGTGGGCGAGGCAGACACTGTGCCTCACAGACCCTAGCCACATAATGTCACAAGGGTAGGTTGAATGAGTAACACTATGGAAGGCGGGGGAGGTGGTGTTTGAATGAACAGGTGAATGAACACAGATGCGTGTCCATCCAGCACCCCAGGTATGGGAGGGAGACGGGACAGATCTGGCTCTGGGTAGGGGGCTAATTAGGGGGCTTCAGATCTATCAGCCTCGGGATTCTCAGCCCTGCCTCCTCCAGTTAACCAACTGGCTGCCTCCCCAAGTTACCTCCCAACCTCCTGAATGGAACAGAGGGGGCTCAGGCCCAGGAACAGCACTCTGAGCCTCCACATGTCTTCCCAGGACCCCAAGATGGTCATCTTCCAAGGGCACCCAGGAATCAACACCACAAAGCTGCCACCCCTCACCACCAAGAGTCAGCTCCTCAACTGGGCAGATACAAAGGGCCCCATCGCATCTGTGGCTGAGCTGAACGACCCTGAAAGCATCCTCCTCCGTCTGGACCAAGGTCAGCTTCCCCCAGCAGCCTCTTTGGACTCAGGACTCAGCTCTGGAAAAAAAATGTGAATTCCTCTGACCCGTTCCTCAGATGTGGACACTGAGGCTCCAAACTGGGATGTGATTTGCCCCAGGTCACATAGAGCAAGTCAGTGCTCTAAGGGGACAGTAATTTTTGACCTAGAAAGCAGCACGTTTACATTGTTTATTGTGCACCTACTATGTGTTCAGTCCTATGCTAGGCATCTGGGGAGTCTGTGCAGACGGACCCAGATCCTGCCATCCTGCAGCCAACACCGTGGTGGGGAGATGATAATAAACACGTCCACAGATGAATACATTCCATAATTTCAGGTCATGGTAGATGCCGTAAGAAAGAAGAAAGTTAAAAAAAAAAAAAGAAAGAAGAAAGTGAGGTGATGCGCTGGTCATTGCTGGGCTGCACCCCTAACATGAGCCATGGGTTCATGCCTTTATTACCCCTGTGTTGACAGATGAGGCAACGGGCCAGGGGATTTGCCCCAGGTCACCTGGCAGTAAGTGGTGGAGGGGAGACTTGAACTCCGGTCCTCCCAGGCACCCCACTTCCTTGCTGCTCCACCCTGCCCACCCCACTTTTACTGTGTAGCGGTGCCAGGCTGCTCCAGAGAGGAACTGAGGTGAGCTTGTCCCCACAGCCCCAGGGTCACCATCCTCCTGCAGTCTGGAACCCCTCATGGACATGGGCCACACGCTCGAATGGAAGCCGCTCTCTCCGGCTTCTGTCCGGGGCTGTCGTTTGGAAGGTGTGCCTGGCCACAAGGAAGCACACATCGTGAGGGTCCTGCCAGGCACCGAGGACAGGTAAGCGTGCCTGACCCCGCCCCAGGCCCCGCCCGCATCAAGCCCCACCCCTGGCTAGGTAACAGTATTGTTTCTGCCACCTTATCTCTGGGCCCCGCCCCTTATGGACCTGAGCCCCACCCACTTCCACGCCCATCCCGCGGACCTACAGAGACCAGGCGAAAGCCCTCAATCGCTGCCCACCAGACCCCAGGTCTGGTCCCCTCCTGGCCAGTCTCCATCAGGTCCCCCCCAACCCCGCATTCCTGCCCTGCGCTGACGCCGGGGTCTGTCTCCCTGTAGGCCCCGGACAGTGACCGTGAAGGTGGAACTGCGTTGTGCCTCGGGGGATCCGGACGCTGTGCTTATCCTGCAAGGGCCCCCCTATGTGTCCTGGCTCATCGACGCCAACCACAACATGCAGATCTGGGTGAGTCTTGTTCCGCGACCCAGACAGCCCTGCGCGGGCCTCTCAGGGGCTCTCCAAAGAGGGAACCCAAACTCCCCGCATTAGCACCCCAGCCCTGAGCCTTCACACATCCACCTTCTTCCTCTGTGCACTATCTGTTCTTCCTTCAGACCTCCACCCAGATGGCACCTCCTCCGTGAAGCTTTCCATCATCCCTTCGGGAGGCCCCTACCCCAGCCCACAGGGTCAGGGAAGTTTCCTGGAGAAGTGAACCCCAAGCTGATGTGAAGGACAAACAGCAGCCAGGAGATGAGGGGAGGTAGCCCAGGCAGAGAGGAAACCGTAGGAGCAAAGGAGGGTGGCACTGAGGCCTGCCATAACCCTGGCTGGCCTGCGGCGCCCCTGCCAGGCTGCCCCCTGACTGCGGCTGTGGCTCCCTGCTCTCTTGTTAGACCACTGGGGAATACTCCTTCAAGATCTTTCCAGAGAAGAACATCCGCGGCTTCGTGCTCCCTGACACACCCCAAGGCCTGCTGGGGGAGGCCCGGAGACTCAACGCCAGCGTGGTGGCATCGTTCGTGGAGCTCCCGCTGGCCAGTGTCGTCTCGCTGCAGGCCCGCAGCTGCGGTGAGCACCCTCCTCCCTTCCCTCGCCCTCTCCCTGGATCAGTGGCCCCGGGACAGCGAAAGTGCCCCTGGCCGCTGCGTGAACGGGGCCGCTGCGTCAGCCCAGGGGAGCCCTGTCTTCCTGTCCCCTGTCTTCCTTGTGCCCCGCCTGAGGACTGAGCGGCTAGTTACCGAAGCGCTTGGTGCTTGGCGCACAGGGAGCGCTGACTGCCTGCCGGCCTCTGCTGCCCTGCAGGTGGTGAGCTGCAGACCTCTCCGGCACCTGTCCAGACCACCCCTCCCAAGGAGAGCTGCAACCAGGAGCTGCTCCTGTCCCTGATCCAGCCCAAGTGCTCCGAAGGCGTCATGACTCTGGTACTCAAGAAAGATCTCATCTCGGTAAGGGCATCCCCACCCCCCAGCCCCAGGGAGCAGAGCTGGTCGTTCCTTTAGGCCAAGAATCTTGGGGGTCCTGTGCGCCTGGGTGGCTCAGTAGGCTGTTGCCTGATTTCTCACAGGTCAACATCTGGAGTTCACACATAGGCTGAGCTCCGCTGGCTGGCTCTGTGTTGACAGACTTAGGACATTGCCTTTGATTCTTCTCTGTGTCTCCCTCTCTCTCTGCCCCTCCCCCGCTCATGCTCTGTCTCTCTCTCTCTCTCTCTCTCTCAAACAAAACGTTGGCAGATAGTAGTCATCATTAATTAATCCTAAATGCAGGTTGAGCTGAGGGGTCATTTAACGGAATATTTTAAACAACATAATCTCCACCAGATTGAAGAACAAGGCACTTACTATAAAAATAACACTGGATTTTTTTTTTTATGTGAAAAACCAGAAAAGAAAATCACAGTCTTCCTGCCCAAAGACAGTGGCTACCAATATTTTAGTGTGTTTCTCAAACATGTTCTCTGTGGATTTCTTACATGGTGAAATCCTGTCCAATGCACTTGTCTGTCTCCTGCTATATTCACTTCATGTATTTTTAGAACTTTGACGAATGTACTTAATATCACTTTAATGAGCGCATATTCCATCATATTGACACGACATAATTAACCCTTCCTCCCTTGTCAGACATTTAGATTGCTTCCAGTTGTGCAACGTTATAAATGCGCAGAAAATATTGTGCATTCTTTACATAGGATTATTTCCTTGGGATAGATTTCCACATTAGTGAGATTTCTGGGTCAAAATGATTGAATATTCTGTTAAGTTTTGATACATGTTGCCAACCTACTTTCCAAAAGAGTCTAGTTTTCACTGCTGATTTAGGGGAGCACTTTGACTCTCTCTCCAGACAATGATTTAAGGAAAAAACAAAAACAAAAAAAAACAAAAAAAAAACCACCTTTGCCAGAGCACCTGGCTGGCTCTGTTGGTGAGGCATGTGATTCTTGATCTTGGGGTCGTGAGTTGAAGCCCCACGCTGGGCATAGGGCTTCCTTAAAAAATAAAAATAAAATAGAATTTTAAAAATTCCAAAAACCTTTGCCAACGAGAGGTGGGACATGGTGTTCTTGTTTCAATTTTTAATTCTCTGATTAGTAGTATGGGCGTGGCTCCATGTGACCTAAGCTCTTTATCAAGGTAGCTCAGTATTTTTCTTGATGATTTTTATATAAGCATTTTACATTTAAAAAGGG